GGAGAATTTTTTGCTGCCACCCATTTGAAGGATAGCAGTGTAAAAATACACACACACACACACACACACACACACACACAGTTCCTCTAGAGGGATTTACCCCAGTTGCATGTATCATGAGAGACTTAGCGATGGCATGTCCGCTAGAAACGTACAATAGCGAACACGTGTAGCACTTAGAACGCTGGGGACTGCAGTCACTAACAACGGTAACAACGGTCTTCGAACAAATGGACGCCATTGTGCTATTGTACTTGTACTTGTACATGTACACGCTTATAAACATTATGAGCAATAGTATTGTATTCTCCCACGCTCTTACTATAAAGTGTCATGCATTACAAAGGGTTTGTAACTCTTACCTTCCTGGGCAGCCCACAGTAGGCACAGGGCCAACAGAGCCACCACTTCCAACACACCTCCCGCCATTGTTGCCCTCTGCCGAGGCAGCCAATTCGAGAAATTCTACGACTACTTCCTGACGGGACACAGGAGGAAATGTCGTTCTGGGTGGACCATACACAACGGCCGAGCACAGAGCCACAGCGTTGTTTCTTGTTGAGTAAAAAATAATTTCAGTGCGCGGTACTCACGCCAGGTGACAACGTAGCACGAAGCCGAGTTGCTTATCTCCCGCTTTGCCTAGTGCATCGGCTAGCGCTAAACTTAGCACGCTTCCTGGCTGTGGAGATAGCAAGGAGCCAGCCGGACGGTGCGGGATTTAGCGATTACTAGTCGCACTTAGTACCTCCAGAAGTACACAGAGAAGATTTAGCGCCTAGTACGCACGCGTGAAGTCTAGGCAAAGGCACGAACCAAGCTGTAGGGCTTGTGAGGTCATCGGTTCATCAAGGTCAAAGTCATTTCAGCACAGCAGCATCGGCAATGTTCAACAGTAGGATCAGTGAGTTTTGTCAACAGAGAAACTCCTCGCTCTCTCAGCCTACAGCACGATGGGTCTCCGTTAGCCCTATACTGCGCTATAGCCGTATCTGCCTGTGTGATCGTTACACTTTCCTGTTTGTCTACACTGCTGCCTTCTTTTAGACGATCTGTCCAAATTGGGACGAGACAAGACTAACGCACTTTGACCTAGACTGCTGTACGGAAGTGCAAAGAAACTCTCGTGTTTGTTCGCACACGAAGTCCTGTCCACCACGCGCTTGCGGAGAAACCTCCAAACGGTGACAATAATTATCATGGTGGAAGCATGTTGTGGTTGGCGGAGCAATGCCAATACATCATACCCCGCAGCACATGGTTTCCCGTGGTTTCGGGCAGCGAGTCACGAGGGGTTAGATATAGCCGAGAGCAGCAAGCAATCAACCCAATGCCCCCTATCTCCAGTATCTGCAGATCCAAATGTCACGCCACTCGCCACTACACGTGTATTCACTTGCAATAACACCATTGCTATGACGATACACTCGACTAGAAACCCGTTTTGAGTACAAACCGTTTCGCTATACTGACCAGCAAGATCGAGATCAGTGGCGCATGCACAAACGGCGCACTACTTGTAGGCCAGGAACAACACTCAACAGCCACGATTCCAGTCTAGACCATCATTGAAAGTAGGGTCACCCACTCTGCAGTGCTCATTATGCCTGTATTGTGTGTGTGTGTGTGTGTGTGTGTGTGTGTGTGTGTGTGTGTGTGTGTGTGTGTGTGTGTGTATGCGTGTATGCGTGCGTGTGTGAAGTCACCAAGGAAGCAGTTGATGTCTTTTAAGCATACAGTCATGTACCTAGTACTAGTAGATCTACCTAGTGTTGCGGTTCCCACCAGTGTGAGTACTAATCTAATGTGTATGGTGATGAACTGCAAAGAGATGTAGTGCAGCGCAGACTGTTCCAGGCAGTTGGAAGATGTCCAAGTCTGTCGTACGCTATCTACATCATGCAAACGAGGACACCACACTCGCACACCAGTCAGTGATTATGGTATACCCAAGGTTGTAATACCCGAGGTTGTAATACGTGAGTTGGTTATCCGTACAGGTGACGGGTGCATAAATGAAAGCTACAGGAACCACACATGTACATAATGTACATGTGTGGTTCCTACACGAATCCGTCGCTAACGCTAATGTGTATCGCGATTCTCGACACAGACATAATGAGACAGACCATCCGTGCTATTCCGATCAACACTGCACACAATCACGTGACTATACTCGACACACCGACGGACACTTTACTTAGCTAGCGATAGTGATTCGAACGACGTTGACAAAAAGCTAGTGAAACTCTGTGGCCATACGCAGCTGGGTCGGCAAGGGCGAGAACTTAGCGCTTCGAGGAGAGAGATCTCGAGAGGCGACAGCTGATGGCTACGGCACGCGGGCACGCACCGATAGAAAATAGGTACTGGTCGCTAGGTGATCTCAGCTTACCTCTATCGATCTTCGGATGGGCTCCATTAGGCACGCAGCCGTGAGAGAGAAGTGATGGTGTAGTTTCTCACGTGCGTGCAGCCGTGAGGGAGAACTATACGTGCGGCCATAATAGTGTAGTCTCTCACGTGTGTGCAGCCGTGAGGGAAAACTATACGTGCGGCCAGCCATATTATTATAGTTTAGTCTGTCACGTGTGTGCAGCCGTGAGGGAGAAATAATACATGTGGCCATGTAATAGTGACTAGTGCAGTCTCTCACGTGCGTGCAGCCGTTCATACGTAGATCCCCCCCCCCCCTCGGCCCCCTCCCTTAGCCCCTACTTGCAACCATATCTTCCCATACAACTGGCCGAAGTGCCATGCGCTGAAAGCTCAGCATCCCTTCATTGCATTTTCATACATGTAGACCTACATGATATTGTACAATCATGTACATCAAAGTACATGTAGAAAGATGTTCATGACATTGTAGACGAGTGCGATACAGCAGTAAGGAGAAGGCCAGCGAAGCAAGGCTCAACCGAAGACATGTCGACAGGAGCTTGAGCCGCAGCACTACTAGTAGTACTGAAGATTCAAGCACAATGAACCACACACTGCACAGTGCACACTGCACACTGCACACTGCACACGGACCCTGCAGACCACGGCCCGGGCATGGTGCAAACCAAACCGGATACACTGTATGAAAACGCACACCGCCAAGTCCAATTGCCTTGAATTGGCCGCGAGTGAATCGCATTATGGCTTCCATGGTCACCACTATGCTGTTATCTGCCAGTTTGTCTGATGTCGCGATGACCAGGGAATCGGGTGTTTGACGACTCCCTGCTGATGACTACATCCGACTGCCTTTCTGCATGAAGCCCCGCCAGCACCAACGTTAACGCCATTCGATACTGCACCGTTGTTTCACTCGTTGACCACTACAGTAGTTATGGTTCCAAGTACTTAAGGTGCCAAGAATCACCACGTGGCATGGAAAGACAATCTTTTTCTTGCAGCGAACACAGTAAGCTGTATTTGGATGCCCCAAGGACTGACTTCCTATCAGAAGGGTGTAGCCCCAATGGAGGAGTACCATAATATTATGTGTATGTGTTCGAATTTGTACTCGATATGATGCACGAGTCACGAGTCACGACCGCAACAAAGCATTAATGACAGTATACAGAGGATGTACCACATCACACAGGAGTTCTGTTCCTTCCTCTGCCCAGCCCGCAGAGGGTTTATTTCGTCAATGGAGTTCTGCGGCTAGCATCCCCGTAGTCACCGGCCTAAACGTCACATACCCCATCTCTCTCACATATCCCATCTCTCTCACATATCCCATCTCTCTCACATACCCCATCTCTCTCACATACCCCATCTCTCTCACTCTCTCCTCATATCAAGAGTACATAACCCCTGGCCCTGGGGGTTACTCAATCTGCGGACACTCACAGAACTGTTTCGTCCTTTGTGGACTCATCAGCGCAGAACAGAGACAATGAGGCCGGTTATGTACTCTTGCTCTTGCTCTCATTGAAAACATCTTTTTTTTAAACTAGATTCAAAATCCGTATACACGTACTATCAATCATCATGCCTGTATAGTAGGATCGACCGACCGCCCATGGCCATGGGTTAGCCACTGTACGCTGTACATGACTACATCAAGCCATGCACACTCATCTTCTTTCACTGTGTCGATAACACCGTCACGAGGCTCGCAGGCCTCACATACCTGAGCACAAATAGTTGATGGTGGTACTGGTCCATTGGTGGAACACAGGGTGGTTTGGGAGCACAACTTGGTGGTGGTCCATTGCCCATTGGTGGAGCGCGGGGTGGTTTGGGACATTCACCCCTCATCAGTTGAGCTTGAGAAGCCTAATGAAATTTACGCTCCGCAGTCCCTACAATCCGTCCTTCGTGCAGTTATCCTGATCAGCGAGAGCTTGCGACTACAACCGATTGTTTAATTAACCTTTTGGAGGTAACAATAGACAACAGTGTGAATGGTCCTCAGTAGCAGCGCTTCTTCTGCACCTCGGGAGCCCCATAGGCTCCGGTGGATTATGCTCGCGAAATCATGGAATTATGCTTCCATGGATTCTCGCATCATGCTCACAAAATCCTCATATTATGCTTTGCCACGCGGGGATACATATCCACTTTGTTGTACTTATGGAGCCTCAAAGTGTGGAAAATTGTGCTTTTTCGTACTTGCAAGTGGCCATAAGTATTACAAAATGTTACGTGAGTATCCCCATACCAAGATGTCCATGCATGCTAGAGATCAAAATGGAAAAGAGAAAACCTTACTTATTCTATTCATTAGTTGACTTCTTTTCAAAAGATTTTTTCATTGCCAAATTAGTTTGAGTTACCTTTGAAAAATATCGTGTTCGCCATACTCGTCCAACCGATGCTACCCTCACCCTGCGAATAATCAGCTCATCTCTCCCGTAGCTCCACCTCGCCTTCCATCATGACTGAATATCAACTATACCTCTTCGAGCTTTTTTTAATTATTTAATAATAATAGAGCAATGTAGGGACCGGCTGATTCTGCTCGAAAAGCAGTAAAATTGGCAGAACCATACAAACCTTATGGCGAGCAATTCCTCGAATTCTGCTCCATTTTTTTATCCACATACCAAACATGACATGAAACTTACCAGAAAAAGTACCAAATTCTGCCAATTTTTCTGCCGGCATTATCCGCTGGACCCTAGAGCAATATCCATAGCCTGCAGTGCACAGTCATGGCTGCTAAAATCCAGAGGTCATGACTTCGTAACATGCATAATGTACATGTACGCGGAGTCACACAAGTTTGCGCACTACCCGTCACTATCTCGTCCGTTGCCCCAGGATACCTGATAAAGGCTTATCTACTCGCATCTTCTGCTACATGTACTGTATGTATGTATGTATAACTCATAATCACAAGGTGATCGTAGAGGCATTAATCAGCGAGAGAATTGTGAATGATGTCTCTGAATCCAACTCTATCGTGTGCTGCATGAGAGACAGCATGCAAGGGAAGACCCGTCCAACCTTTAATGTTAGAAATCCATGATGTCGCGGGCCTTCCTCTCGGTCGAGATCCAGGAGTTGATCCTTGCAGGAAGGGCTTGGAGAAAACGTCATGTCTTGTAACATGGCCAAACCACCTCAACTTAAATTTCTTGACTTCGTTCGCTAGCCGCATCCTTGCTCCGATGATGTCATTGATTTCTTCCAGGATAGATTGGTTGGTTGGTGCGCCGGTCGTGGTATGTTACTCCTAAGACTCGGCGGAAGCATTTCATCTCAAAGGATGAAATTGTTCTCATTGATGAGGCAGATAATGTCCAAGATTGGCATCCGTATAAAACAGTCGCTAGCACAATAGACCTAACAAAACGAAATTTAGTAGGCAAAGAAAGTGATGGCGATTTCCAAATGAATTGAATGTACTGTATCAACGTGAAAAAGAACTTACTTTGAAGAAGACGAGTTCGAGCATACAATAATGTATTGCCATGATTTCTACCCTGTTTTTCATTGAAAGCACTAGCAGCATGACCTCCAAACCCTTTACTATGCAGACCACCATCACTGATCAGGTGCATTGTACACAATTGTATAGACTACATACTACAACTGTGGTATGATCATGTAGTTATGCTCCTACCTCCGAGAGGATGCCAAATTATGCTCCAAATTTTCAACCACCAAATTATGCCAATAGTTATGCCGGCATAATCCGCCGGTGCCTAGAGCTCCATGGGCGACACTGAGT